AAGGATGAATACCCAACTTTTGGATCAACATGGATGGGACTGGAAGAGATTATGCTGAGTGAAATAAGTGAAGCAGAGATAATTCAAGCAGAGAGAGTCAATTATCATATGGTTTCACTTACTTGTGGAGCAAAATATTACATGGAGGACATTGGGAGATGGAGAGGAGAAGTGAGTTGGGGAAAATCGGAAGGGGACACAAACCATGAGAGACTGTGGACTCTGAGAGACAAACTGAAGGTTTGGGGAGTGGGGTGGGGGATGAGCCTGATGGTGGGTATTATGGAGATCATGTATTGCATGGAGTATTGGGTGTGGTGCTTAAACAATGAATTTTGGAACACTGAAAAAAATAATAAAATAAAAATTTAAAAAATGTAATAAGAATATAAACTGACTGGGCGCCTGGGTGGCTCAGTGGGTTGAGCCGCTGCCTTTGGCTCAGGTCATGATCTCAGGGTCCTGGGATCGAGTCCCATATCAGGCTCTCTGCTCAGCGGGGAGCCTGCTTCCCTCTCGCTCTCTGCCTGCCTCTCTGTCTGCTTGTGATCTCTCTCTGTCAAATAAATAAATAAAATCTTAAAAAAAAAAAAAAGAATATAAACTGACTGGTGTAAAGAGAAGTAAAGTGTAGCTATTGTTTTCATTCTGTGAAAAAGTGGACTCTGGTGACAAGATATTATTTAAAATATCTTAATAGCTATATTAAAGAAAAAAATGTATTCTCTAATCACTTGAGTCAAATTGTTTTAATGTAAAATGAAATAATGATTTTTATATTTGGATATGTAATTGCATAGATGTCTATATATACTCATTTCTCTCTCTTTCTCTCTCCCCTTATCTCTACATCTATCTTAATATCTGGATCAATCTCTATTTGTCTCTATGTATCATTCATTTTAGAAACTCTAATTTCTAACAACTACTAGATTCTCTAGAGTTTTTAAAGAATAACTTTTGTCAATATTTCTTGCAAGGAATAAATAATTACTTTCATAAAATAAGCATGAAGTGGAGGAAGAGCTACTTTATGTCTAGCACTATAGAGAGTGCTTTATAATATCTACACAGATATCCCTTAGTGAGTTAATATTCATACCAGATCATTATAGATAAAGAAATTAGAGCTCAGAGAGGTTATGTAATAGCTCCAAATCATAGAACTATTATGTGGTAGAACAATGACTCTAACTCGTGTCTAATGGCAAAGTTCGTGCTCTTCTGTGATAACAATCTGCTTTTTTGGATGCACATTGTATCCCATCACTACTGAAAGGGAAAATGACCTGTGAATTTATTTTTCGTGAATGCAGAACGGTCAGTAATTTTTTAATAAGTGCAAATAAGAAGATGAAAGTATCACTGATGGCTCTGTGACTGTTTCCTTTGGCTTTTTTGAAAATATCTACCTATCCAAAATGCATTTTGTATAACCAATATTGGTCTTTGTCCATGGAATTACTAGAAGAGAACCCAGAACAATCCTTAAGAAGTAGGTTACAAAAGCCAACACCTTTCTCTAATGTGATCTCCACTTGATTTTGGTTTTGTTTTTGTTATACAGGATTCTGACAGTTTATTGAGTACTAGGAGACATCCCAAGGAAAGCTTTTCTGCTACCACACAGACATTCTTACATTTCAGTTTCTTCTTTTCTGTATCATATGAACAAAAACCAGGAGAGTGAAAAGTCAACCTATGGAATGCAAGAAAACATTTTCACTGAGCATGAGAAATGCAAATCAAAACTGCAATGAGATATTCTCTCACACTTGTTGGTATGGTTATTATTATAACAAAAGATAAAAGTATGGGCAAGGATGTGGAGAAATTGGAACTTTTGTGCCATGTTGGTGGTAATGAAAAATGATATAATCATTATGAAAAGCATAAAGGTACCTCAAAAAATAACAATGGTGCTATCACATGATCCAGTAACCCAATTTCTGGGAATATAACCAAAAGAACTGAAATCATGATCAAAGAGCTATCTGTACTCATACATTCATTGCAACATCATTCACAATAGCCAACATATGGAAACAACTCAAATATCCATTGACGAATGGATAAAGAAAACATCGTATATACATACAATGGAATATCATTTCACCTTAAAAAGAAAGAAATCCTACCATTTATGACAACATAAATGGACCTGAAAGACATCATGCTAATTGAAGCAAGACAGCCACAGAAATACCAAGACTGTGAAATTGTACTTATGTGAACTATCTAAAAGAGTCAATATCATAGAAACAAAATAGAATGGTGGTTGTGAGGTGATGTGGAGGAGGGAAAAATGAAGAGTTGTTCAGTGGGTATAAAGTCGAAGTTATACAAGATGAACAAGCTCCAGAGATCTGTTACACAACCCAGTGTCTATAGTTAACAATAAAATGTCATTCACTTAAAAACTTAAGAGGATAGAATTTATGCTGTGCTCTTACCAAAATAAATGAGTTAATTCAGTTAAAAAATGAAATCTGTTAGTTTGCTCTCTCATTTTTTTTAAAGATTTTATTTATTTGAGAGAGAAAGAGAGAGAGAATGAGCAGGGGTGAGGGGAGAAGCAGGAAGGAGCAGGAGACTCCCACTGAGCAGGGAAACCCATGCGGGTCACGATCCCAGAACCCTGGGATCATAACCTGAACTGACGCAGACACTTAACTGACTGAACCACCCAAGCACCCCCTAGTTTTCTTCCTTTCTCTTTGAAAATGTTACATAATTTAAATACATAAGGAACATCTACAAGTAATTTATATCCAGACTTAGGAACAAAATGCTCCAAATCTTTCACTTTTATTTTCCTGTAACATGACTTTGAAAGTTCTATAAATATAGATGTAGTAAGGCCTGAATTACTAAAACTGAAAAAATGTTATTTCTTATTTTAATACCGTGCAATCTAAAAAATTATTAAAAATGGATAAAGAAGATGTAGTGTGTATGTATGTGTGTATATGTATATACACACACACACACAATGGAATACTATGCAACCATCAAAAGAAATGAAATCTTGCCATTTGCAACAATGTGGATGGAACTAGAGGGTATTATGCTGAGCGAAATAAGTCAATCAGAAAAATACAGTTATCATATGATCTCTCTAATATGAGGAATTTGAGAGGTAGGGCAGGGGGCTTGGGGGGAGGGAAGGAAAAAATGAAACAAGATGGGATTGGGAAGGAGACAAACCATAAAACACTTTTAATCTCACAAAATAAACTGAGGGTTGCTGGGGGGGTGGGAGGGTAGGGAGAGGGTGGTTGGGTTATGGACACTGGGGAGGGTATGTGCTATGGTGAGTGCTGTGAAATGTGTAAGACTGATGATTCACAGACCTGTACCCCTGGGGCAAATAATATATTATATGTTAATGAAAATAATTTTTAAATGTATTATTTTGACCTAAAAGCTTAAAGTAATAAGTAAAATAAAATAAAAACATGATTTCAGAAACTATTTATAATTAAACAAACATTCATATGACTAAGTTTATGAATCAAATTATTTTAAATCTTCCTTAAAATTATCCTCAAATTTACACGCTGGTAAATACTAAGTGATTCACCCACTAAAGGAACTCTGGCTAAGTATTTTAATCCTGTAACTAAGGAAATATATTAAAAAAATACTTGACCAACAGTAAAAGAAAATCAGGATAGAAAGTTGAAATTAAAATATGTGTCACAAATGTCATCATAAAGGACAAAGAAAGCCAAAGTATCCAATTACTTGTCATCTAAAGTTATTTTTTAACAGAAAGTGAATTGCAAATTGGTATTTAGCAGAAATATATAAAAGGAGTAGACAAATTATGGTGGACCTTATCCAGGTTATTAAATCCAACTTTCTTTTCTGTTTTTCTACCTTAAAAATTTTCTTTTTAAATATTTGTTTGTAATGATCATTGTCCTAGGCAGACCAAATATAGACAAAGATATATTGGTAGTCAGGAGTTAGATAAGATCCTTCTTCCCCATTGGATCCACTAATATGTCATATACTCACTGATTTAAAGAGAAATAAGATTCCAAGACAATGCTTTACCCTTGTTCAAAAACTTGGTTCAGAGAAATAAGCAAGCCAAACTAGAGTCCTCCAAATATAGGGCCCTTGCAATAAATTAGATTAATAAGACTTGTAAATGAATATAACAAATCAGACTGAGAAGCAAAGAAAATAGTCATGCCGAATGCATCCAGACCCACTCCTAAAGCAATCAAACTGTGGCATATGGAGACTGAGGAAAGAAAGTGTCTACGGGATGTCCATTGAATGTTCATTTGATACATGCTGTAAGAGGACTTTGAGTCCCAAGCAATTTAGCTGTAACTAAAAATCCATCTATATCATCTCTACCCTATCCATACCTCTTTCACTAGGTAATAATTTTTTTTTAAGAATGATACACTTTTTTCTTATTACATGGTATAACTGGGAAACATGTACAGCAATGGCAAAGGACTTCTAGCCCTAAATGGAGAAAACATCCCAGGGATTGATGTCTTATGGTGAGTGTCTTACGGTGAGCAGGGCTTACTGCAGAGAAGCCCTGCTCTAGGGCTCATGAACCACCAGTTGCAAGGCAACTGAGAGAAAAAGAAATATATGAATTTATTAAACCTATAGGATCCCTCTCTGCTGTATCTTGGAACCTTGAAATGCCATGTCATTTGGGAGAGGGATTTTGTGGGGAAACTAAATTCCTCTATGTGTGAATGGGAAGACAGGACCTAAAATATAGTGGACATACTTGCAAAGGAAATAAAATCATTCTAGTGTTGTATTAAAAATTTCACAAGCTTGTTTAATTCTTAAATCTGATTTTAATATTTTAAGAGTCTTATCTTTCTTATGCTTGAAATTTTTTTTAATGCATTCTTCATTTTGCCAAATTTTCTGGTGCTTTTGCTTTTTGAAGAAAAAAAAAGCCTAATTGTAGAGTACAAGGTGTGTGCGTAAGTGCACTGTAGGTGTATACTTACGGGTCTTTCTAGCAGAATCTTCCACAAAAAGAGAAGAGATGTCTTCATCCACTCCTGCTTCATTCTTGGCGATACAAGTGTATGCTCCTGTATCTTCATAGCGCACATTGCTTATATGAACCTCACTGCCATTTGCTGAAAACAGAAGGCAAACGCAACTTGTAAACTATGATTTCAGTTTTGGTACAGTGCTTTCCGATTACATAGCCAAGCAGTTCTCTTAGCTTGTCCTAATTAAATTGTTCTCCTTCCTACTTCCATGCTTTGGAGGCATGCCAAATTTTTCCAAAATCATTCAAGTGTTTCATAAACTGTGTTGTCATTCTATTGAGAGCCTAAAACTCTATGTCAAATGCACAAGCTTCATATTTTATCTTTATTTTCCTATTTCCCACATTTCATATGTATTTCATATTGAAGACTATAATTCCACTTATATATTTATTTTTAGTATTCAGAATCTGCTTTACAAAATTTTAAAATAATAGCAATATGGTTCATACTCAGGAGAATATGGATAAAAAGACTTTTCATAAAGAAATTCAGTGAGCTACATCATGAAATATAGTACAATTGCCACTTATTAGGTACATTATTGAGACCGTATTATACATCTGGAATTATAAGGTAAGGAAGGTATTAAGTAAGGAAAACAGAAAGGTAGGGTGCCTGGGTGGCTCAGTGGGTTAAAGCCTCTGCCTTCGGCTCAGGTCATGATCCCAGGGTCCTGGGATCGAGCCCCCCATCGGGCTCTCTGCTCAGCATGGAACCTGCTTCCCTTTCTCTCTCTCTGCCTGCCTCTCTGCCTACTTGTGATCTCTATCTGTCAAATAAATAAATAAAATCTTAAAAAAAAAGAAAGTTAGTAACACATGATTTGTCTGCAAGATTCCAGTCTTTTGCCAGAAATATCCATAAACAATATTATAATGATATAGTCTGTATTGATGTACAGATATACAGTCATAAATTGATACAATCAGTATACAACCAAAGGATTAAGAGAATAATTAGCTCAATTTTTCAATCTTGGTAGGGTAACTTTTTTTTTTTTACTTTCCAGTTCTTCATTCAAGACACACACGTTATTTAAAAAATACATATTCTTAAGGGCAACAAAGCAATTCATTAGATGGATCTACTTTAGTAGTTTTACCTTTAAAATAGTAAGTCCCCTCATTAAGACAATGCTATTATGAAGAATGCTATGATGAATATAACTCTTAATATAATAACTTCTTACGGTAAAACCTGGTTTCCTAATATAGAAATCAGGGCATAATTAACCACCAACTGTGTTGGAAATATGTTGGAAATATACAAGTAACTTAACATATCTTATTTCTTAATTGTCCTAAATAATTCATAATTTTCAGAAGCAGAATCATAAACTCATAGATTGATCTTATGGAAATCACTCAATTCAAAACATAAGGGCTAGACACCTATCAGACTCTAAAATTCAGTGGTCATTGTGCTCATTTGTTTAGGTTTCTTTCTCTCTCTTTTACTTTATTTTTATTCTTTCTTTGTTTCTGTGTGTGTTTCATATTATCCAATCACAAGAACACCATGCATCATGTGTGACAGAGAGTAATATGACTATTTAAGACAGATAAGTGATGAAATAATCCATAACCCTGTTTGGGATAGAAGATAGAAAACCAATGGGAAAAAGAGCTTGGGAATGCCAGTGGCTCTCAAGGGATGTGAATGGGATATGGAGAGGCAATGAGTGTTTGGGGGAGGAATAATGATTCAGATAACTTTAACCTTTTTCTCACATTACAGATGGTATTGCTCACCTCCATTCCCCCATCCATTGTTGAGAATCACTACTCCAAAACAGAAGGTTGACCATTTGTTTTGGGGTTGTGGGTGCTTTGTTTTGTTTTGTTTTGTTTTCCCAATAAAGCCTGGGTAGATATGCTTTGTAGGCCATAAAGTATCTTTAACGCTACTCACCTCTGTCATAGCAGCATGAAAGCAGCCATGAACAATATTTTAAAACATGAGTGTGGCTGTGCTCTAAAGATAAAAACAAAAACAAAGCCCCCCAAGTGGCTCTATCTACAAAAGGGGCGGTTTCCCAGATTTGGCCTGTGGGCCTTAGTTTGCAGACCCCTTAAATACACTATTTTTAAGCCTGTGACAGCTTCTTGTTTTGCATGATATATGGCTCTCTCCAAAGAACACACTTTCTCTTAAGAACCACACACTTAGCAACCTAAATTCTCCAAGATTTTTTTTTAAATATCAAAATCAATTTACTCCTTTTTTAAATGTTCTCTTCTCAATATTGTTGTATGTCCCCCTAACCTACATGCTCCAACTGTCTTCCTCCTTCGCTACATAATCTGCCATTGCTTGATGTTTTCTACTCTATTGCCAGAACTAGCAATTTCCTCATGCATTTATCATCTGACAGATATACCTTACCAACTGCCAAAACTAGAAAAAGTGGACATATCTCTGCACTTAGTGTCTCTGCATCTAGTTTTCTGAGTACATTAAGAGACAACTGCATAAGCAAATTTACAAATTCAGAGTTTTCAGTTTGCAGGATGTTCCATGCTACTTGGTATTCACTTCACTTGACCTTGATAGGTATATGCCTTTCATTTCCTACTCTGTTTTTATTTCAAATCTTTACTCTGTTTGATGTTTCCCATCCTAATACTAATTTCTCACCCTAAGCAAGTGACCTTGTTTTTAAATCATGAAGTGCATACATGTAATTAGCAAGTAAACCCAAATCATTTTGCAGTATATATCCTTATTAAATCATCACATTTTATACCTTAAATTTACACAATGCTGTCAATTATATTCCAGTCAAAGCTGAGAAAACAAGTAAAGCCAACTTCTTATTTCCATCTACAACTTCACATGTATTTACTTCTCAAAAGAAGCTCTCTGTTTCTTTCCAAATAATATGTCCCTTCTTTCCTTTATGATTTCTACAGTTATTTAGTCATCGTTCCCCACCTCCATTTTCTGCATATATTTTTTCTCTCTTAGTATTTCTTCCACTCAATGCTCTAAGAAGAAAAAAATATAATTTGTCCTAACCCTTTCCAACAAGAGCAACTACCTTTCCTTTTGTCCTCCTTTCAAAATCTGAAGAGATTTTTATACTTTCTTACCTCCTCTCTTCTAAACCTAAGAAAACTGATGGCTATGAATAAAGTTTTTCCTAAATGTCAAAAGGTCAAACTAATCACCTGACCCATGAATACATTTCAGTGACTTTCCTCGACCTTTCTGTGCATTTGATATTGTTGATCTCTTTCTCATACTTTGCTTTCTTTCATGTAGGATCACCTTTTTCTCTTGCATTTTGCTAATTTTTAGTCTCCTTGTGTTATTTATCATGATTTGCCTTCTAATTAAACATTTCTGCTTTTCTAGGATTTTACTTCCTCTCATTAACATACCATCCCATCCATTGATGTATTCAGTCCATACCTAGACTTACATATAAATGCTAGCTAAGCATTTGTTGAATAAATGGATAATTAAACTATAGTATTTGGTAACATGTAATCATATGGAAAGCCACAGGGATTTCACATGCCTATGTACCCAGATTTATCTCTTAGGTTGTGCTCTCCACTCACTTTTCATTTTTCATTCTCTCAAAACTTCAGTGATTTTCTCATTTAAAAAAAAAATGATAATAGCTACCTTACAAGGGCCCCCACCCTTACATTATTGAATCTGGAGTGTAATCAGCCCCTCATATGTGCCTTTGTGTGTATTCCTAGAAACAAAGATAAAATATGCTCATCTAATACTGTTTACTGCTATTAAATGGGCAAGAGATGACAAAAGCAGAAACTAATTAGGACTTTCTTCACTTTAATTTCTGTTAATCAGATCAATCCTTTTCTAAGATTATAGACACTAAAGATGTAATCAGTAGATGTAAACATGTAAATTCCTTGAATTTACTTCTACTAATATAGAGATTTGTAAGATCTAGGTTTTAAAGGTCACAATTACTTTCATATGTCATTTCTGACTTACAAAAATAAAATAGTTAATATTTCAAAAAGATTTATTTAAAAACATATATCAAAACGTTCACTGTTAAAGTGTTATAAGTAAAGTCTATGCTTATACAAATAACGCAAAAATGAAAATATATTCACTTGTAGTATGAATCAAAGGAATTTAAAGCATGCAATAAAGAATATAGTGTCATACAACATACACTCCAGTAAAATGACTCATCATATTCTACTCTTGATGGTGGAAATAAGATTTATACATTTTTAAACTTACTAGTATAATCAACATATATGCAACTGCTTTTGCATTATTTAGGTATTTGGCATTACAAAGATTTTTTTTTTGTTTTCTACTTACCACATATTCATTATTATTATAATCTGTATAATAATTCTGTTTCATATTAGACTATTCAAACTTTGAATATTTTATATGTTAAAATCCAATAATATTAAATACCTTTCAAACAATGTAAGTGTAAAACATATTTAGTAACATTTTTTCTTTCTTCATTTGCAAGTTATGCTACAAAATATTCACTAAGGGATTCTTACTATTGACACTCTCTAGAATTCATTTTTAAAGTATGATTTAAATATTTAAATGATCCCTTCAAAATGTATTCTATGAAAAAATCCATTTATTCTGTTCAGCATTTCTGCTATAATTCATAGAACAATTACTTAAAAGATACATAATATAATATTTTACTTATTGCTGAAATAATAGCATAACTAATTATTATGACAACATTATTATTTAAAACACAAAAAAATACTAATGGACTCTATTTCAAATAAAATGTCTTAAGAACAACTATATATTTTTTTCATATACATGACATTTGGTTGCCATCAACTAGCTTTTTTTTTTTTTTCAAATCATATAAACTCTGTTATAAATTTCAGTATAAAATTTCTGCACGGTCATTTAAGAGGAAAAAGTGCAAATAAAAAGCACCTTGAAGTGTGAGTTGTTTGGACAGCTTTGGTGTTATATCAATTCCATTCTTGAGCCAGCCAAGCTGAGGGTTTGGTATCCCCTCTGCATGGCACCTGAGACTTGCAGTTACCCCAGGTTCTCGAGCCTGACTCTCTGGATACACCCGGATTACTGGAGGGACTACAAGAAGAAATGGGGAAAAAAAATTGAATTAGTAAGCCATATTCTTTGATTTTCTAAAAATTGCAGTATGAGAAAATTGTTAATTATGTATTTTAATGATATATTTTTCTATAGATCTTAGTTTCCAAATATCATTATCTGCAAAAATGTACCAGTTACCTTTAAATGTACCAGTAACCTTTAGTACATAAAGGTTACTCTGAGACTGTGCCAGGAAAAATACAAGCTGAGTTGGTAATAGGAGAAGTCTTCAAAGTATGATAGAAACATTAAAAAAAAAAAAAATACAGAAGCCAACTTAAAGGGACTTTTATTTGTCAAATATGAGAAAATTTGAGCATTAAAATAAGGAACAATTATTAAAAACATAAGGAATTTAAAAAGACTTAAAGAATTCAATTGTAGGGGCGCCTGGGTGGTTCAGTGGGTTAAGCCTCTGCCTTCGGCTCAGGTCATGATCTCAGGGTCCTGGGATCCAGCCCTGCATCAGGCTCTCTGCTCATCAGGGAGCCTGCTTCCCCATCTCTCTCTGCCTGCCTCTCTGCCTACTTGTGATCTTTCTCTCTGTCAAATAAATAAATAAAATCTTAAAAAAAAAAAAGAATTCAATTGTATAAATAAGTAAATGAATATAACAATGAGGAATAATGAAAATCTTTTCCTTACCATAGAATATATAAAGGATCAGGATAACAATTACATTTACAGAAGCATCCAAAAAGAAAATATTTAGAAATAAATTTCACCAAGGAGGTGCAAGACTTTCACACTGAACACTGCAAAATGAGTTGAAGTATATTTTTAAAAAATAATGAAAAGTCATGAGTTTATGAATTGAAATAATTAATTAGTAGGATAGTAAGAACTGGTAAGAATTATAAGATGATAATACTCCACAAAATTGATCTATAAATACAATGTAATCCTTATCAAAATACCAACTGCATTTTTTTTTTCTTTTTTCAGAAATGGAAGCGCTAATCCTCAGATTTCTATAGAATCACAAGGGACCCCTGAAATAACCAAAACAACCTTGAAAAATAGTAACACTGGAGTTCTCATACCTCTCAATTTCCAAATATACTATAAAGTATGTGTATAGTATATATACAGGAATCAAAACAATATGATACTGCATAAGGAAAAAACTTAAATCTATGAAATAGAGTTGAGTTGGGAATGCAGAAAAAACCTATTAATCTATAATTAATGATTTTAACATAAATGCCAAGAAATAGTCTTTTCAAGAATTGATGCTGAAACAACATCCATATACAAAAGAATGAACATGAACTACCTCACAACTTATATAAAAATTAACTCAAAATTAATAAAAGACCTAAATGTAGGAGCTAAAATAATAAAACACTTAGAAGAAAACATAAAGGTAAATCTTCCTGAACTTGTGTTTTACTATGTCTTCTTAGATATTACCCCAAAACCCAAGCAACAAAAGAAAGATCAATAAATTGAACCTCATTAAAATTAAAATTGGAGGTGCATCAAAGGACACACTCTATCAAGAAAGTATATATACAACTCACAGATTAAAACAATATTTGCAGGGAGGAGTCAAGATGGCAGAGAAGTAGCAGGCTGAGACTACTTCAGGTAGTGGGAGATCAGCTAGATAGCTTATCTAAAGATTGCAAACACCTACAAATCCAATGGGAGATCGAAGAGAAGAAGAACAGCAACTCTAGAAACAGAAAATCAACCACTTTCTGAAAGGCAGGACTGGCAGAGAAGTGAATCCAAAGCGACAGGAAGATAGACCGCGGGGGGAGGGGCTGGCTCCCGGCAAGTGGCGGAGCAACGGAGCACAAAATCAGGACTTTTAAAAGTCTGTTCCGCTGAGGGACATCGCTCCAGAGGCTTAACCGGGGTGAAGCCCATGGGGGGTCAGCGTGGCCTCAGGTCCCGCAGGGTCACAGAAGGATCGGGGGTGTCTGAGTGTCACAGAGCTTACAGGTATTAGAACGGGGAAGCCGGCTACAGAGACAGAGCCGAGGAGTGAGCTCTAAGCTCAGGGTTACCTTGAACCAGTCGCAGGCTCGGTCAGCTCAGAATGTGGCCGGAGGCAGGGTGACGGGAGTAATTGGGCACTGTTCTCTGAGGGCGCACTGAGGAGTGGGGCCCCGGGCTCTCGGCTCCTCCAGGCCGGAGACCGGGAGGCCGCCATCTTCATTCCCGCCCTCTGGAACTCTATGGAAAGCGCTCAGGGAACAAAAGCTCCCGAAAGCAAACCCGAGCGGATTACTCAGCCCGGCCCCTGGTAAGGGTGCTGCAACTCCACCTGGGGCAAAGACACTTGAGAATCACTACAACAGGTACCTCCCCAAGAAGATCAAGAAGAAACCCAGCCAGGACCAAGTTCACCTACCAAGGAGTGCAGTTTCAATACCAAGGAGAACAGCGGAATTCCAGAGGAGGTGAAAGCAAAGCACAGAACTCATGGCTTTCTCCCCATGATTCTTTAGCCTTGCAGTTAATTTAACTTTTTTTCTTTTTCAATTTTTTTTCTCTTCTTCTGCTAAATTTTTTTAACTTTTACCCTTTTCTTTTTTAACGTTTTTTAACTAGTTTATCAAATATATATATATATTTTCCTTTTTATATTTTTTTCTTTATTGGTTTTCTTTTTTAATTGTTTTTTTTTTCTTTCTGAACCTTTTTATCCCCTTTCTCCCCCCTCACGATTTGGGATCTCTTCTGATTTGGCTAAAGCATATTTTCCTGGGGTTGTTGCCACCCTTTTAGTATTTTACTTGCTCCTTCATATACTCCTATCTGGACAAAATGACAAGGCAGAAAAATTCACCACAAAAAAAAAGAACAAGAGGCAGTACCAAAGGCTAGGGACCTAATCAATACAGACATTGGTAATATGTCAAATCTAGAGTTCAGAATGACGATTCTCAAGGTTCTAGCCGGGCTCAAAAAAGGCATGGAAGATATTAAAGCAACCCTCTCAGGAGACTAAAAGCCCTTTCTGGAGAAATAAAAGAACTAAAATCTAACCAAGTTGAAATTAAAAAAGCTATTAATGAGGTGCAATCAAAAATGGAGGCTCTCACTGCTAGGATAAATGAGGCAGAAGAAAGAATTAGCAATATAGAAGACCAAATGACAGAGAATAAAGAAGCTGAGCAAAAGAGGGACAAACAGCTACTGGACCATGAGGGGAGAATTCGAGAGATAAGTGACACCATAAGACGAAACAACATTAGAATAATTGGGATTCCAGAAGAAGAAGAGAGAGAGAGGGGAGCAGAAGGTATATTGGAGAGAATTATTGGAGAGAATTTTCCCAATATGGCAAAGGGAACAAGCATCAAAATCCAGGAGATTCAGAGAACCCCCCCATCAAAATCAATAAGAATAGGTCCACACCCCGTCACCTAATAGTAAAATTTACAAGTCTTAGTGACAAAGAGAAAATCCTGAAAGCAGCCTGGGAAAAGAAATCTGTAACATACAATGGTAAAAATATTAGATTGGCAGCAGACTTATCCACAGAGACCTGGCAGGCCAGAAAGAGCTGGCATGATATATTCAGAGTACTAAACGAGAAAAACATGCAGCCAAGAATACTATATCCAGCTAGGCTATCATTGAAAATAGAAGGAGAGATTAAAAGCTTCCAGGACAAACAAAAACTAAAAGAATTTGCAAACACCAAACCAGCTCTACAGGAAATATTGAAAGGGGTCCTCTAAGCAAAGAGAGACCCTAAAAGTAGTAGATCAGAAAGGAACAGAAACAATATACAATAACAGTCACCTTACAGGCAATACAATGGCACTAAATTCATATCTCTCAATAGTTACCCTGAATGTTAATGGGCTAAATGCCCCAATCAAAAGACACAGGGTATCAGAATGGATAAAAAAACAAAACCCATCTATATGTTGCCTACAAGAAACTCATTTTAAATCCGAAGACACCTTGAGATTTAAAGTGAGGGGGTGGAAAAGAATTTACCATGCTAATGGACATCAGAAGAAAGCAGGAGTGGCAATCCTTATATCAGATCAATTAGATTTTAAGCCAAAGACTATAATAAGAGATGAGGAAGGACACTATATCATACTCAAAGGGTCTGTCCAACAAGAAGATCTAACAATTTTAAATATCTATGCCCCTAATGTGGGAGCAGCCAACTATATAAACCAATTAATAACAAAATCAAAGAAACACATCAACAATCATACAATAATCGTAGGGGACTTTAACACTGCCCTCACTGAAATGGACAGATCATCCAAGCAAAAGATCAACAAGGAAATCAAGGCCTTAAATGACACACTGGACCAGATGGACATCACAGATATATTCAGAATATTTCATCCCAAAGCAACAGAATACACATTCTTCTCTAGTGCACATGGAACATTCTCCAGAATAGATCACATCCTCGGTCCTAAATCAGGTCTCAACTGGTATCAAAAGATTGGGATCATTCCCTGCATATTTTCAGACCACAATGCTCTGAAGCTAGAACTCAATCACAAGAGGAAATTTGGAAAGAACCCAAATACATGGAGACTAAACAGCACCCTTCTAAAGAATGAATGGGTCAACCAGGAAATTAAAGAAGAATTGAAAAAATTCATGGAAACAAATGATAATGAAAACACAACGGTTCAAAATCTGTGGGACACAGCAAAGGCAATCCTGAGAGGAAAATATATAGTGGTACAAGCCTTTCTCAAGATACAAGAAAGGTCTCAGGTACACATCCTAAGCCTACACCTAAAGGAGCTGGAGAAAGAACAAGAAAGAAAGCCTAAACCCAGCAGGAGAAGAGAAATCATAAAGATCAGAGCAGAAATCAATGAAATAGAAACCAAAAAAACAATAGAACAAATCAACGAAACTAGGAGCTGGTTCTTTGAAAGAATTAATAAGATTGATAAACCCCTGGCCAGACTTATCAAAAAGAAAAGAGAAAGGACCCAAATAAATAAAATCATGAATGAAAGAGGAGAGATCAC